CTGCAGCACTGATCGGAGAACAAGCAACGCAGCACTGTGTTTGTATTTCAGACCAAACTGGAAAAAAGCTCAAGTATGTCACGTGTTTCAATTTCAGTACACACAGCTTGTCCAAAAGGATCTGAAAGATCCTGTGAGGTATCTCCTGGGCACAACTTACTAACTGGTGGGAACGAGATACTAACTGGTGGGAACGACTCACTAACTGGTAGGAATGACTTACTAACTGGTGGGAATGACTTACTAACTGGTGGGAACGAGATACTAACTGGTGGGAACGTCTCACTAACTAGTGGAAATGATTTACTAACTGGTGGGAATGACTTACTAACTGGTGGGAATGAGATACTAACTGGTGGGAACGAGATACTAACTAGTGGGAACGACTTACTAACTGGTAGGAATGACTTACTAACTGGTGGAAATGACTTACTAACTGGTGGGAATGAGATACTAACTGGTGGGAACGAGATACTAACTGAACGATTTAATAACTGGTGGGAATGACTTACTAACTTGTGGGAACGAGATACTAACTGGTTGGAACAAGATACCAACAGGTGGGAATGACTTCGTAACCGGTGGGAACGACTTACTAACTGGTGGGAATGAGATATCAACTGGTGGGAACGAGATACTAACTGGTGGGAACGACTTACTAACTGGTGGGAATGACTGGTGGGAAAGACTTACTAACTGGTGGGAATGAGATACTAACTGGTGGGAATGAGATACTAACTGGTGGGAACAAGATAGTATTTGTTTTTCATCCACTGTCCCTTTAGGGGCTCAGTAGCTTTATGTTCTGTGTCCCTGTTTGATACAAATGATTGTATGACAGTATCACCTCTTTTCTGGTGACTGTCAGATTTGCTTTCTAAAGTCTGTAGTTCAGAATAAAAACTCACCTTTTTCACCAACCCCTGGCACTCCTAGATCCCCTTTAAGCCCTGTGTCTCCTTTTGGTCCTGGGGGGCCAATAACCCCACTGTCACCTAAAAAATAATGTCCAATGTGTGATTCAGAAGGGTGTAATCTGTGTGTTGGGTCAGACATTTCCAGACTGCAGAGTATGCGTGAGTTTGTTCATATTTAACAGGTGAATGAGCCTTTGTGCTTACACAATGGATCATCAGACTGCCGAGTGATGTATAATCACATTTTATGCACATCAATGAAAAGTTAAGATTCTGAAAAACTCTTTTTTGCTTCATTTCCTATGAGTTTCTGACTCACCTTTTAGGCCTTTCTCTCCTGGTCGCCCTGGAAGTCCAGGGTGGCCATTTGAACCTGGCGGTCCTGTAAACACAAACAGAAGAAGAATCCAGACTCAGCAACTGGTGTTCTAAGAAATTTTCATCCACTAATCAGGAACATGAGTCTCAGACTAATTTTAAAAGGTATTACCTCCTCCAAGGAGGTTATGTTTTTGGTCGCATCTGTCTGTCTGTCTGTCTGTCTGTCTGTCTGTCTGTCTGTCTGTCTGTGGGCAAAATTGCTCAATAACTTATGGATGGATTTTCATGCTATTTTTACCACAGGTGGGTATTGGCCAAAAGAACACACCATTAAATTTTGGTGATGATCTGGATGCAGAAATTTTTTAAGAATTKTTCACTGTTGCCTGATAGGAGAAATAATCCACTGTAGAACTGTAGACTCTGTAGACAGCCAATCAGCTTTAAGGAAGCTGACCATGGACTTCCAATCACATCGGATCATACGTAGACGGGTCAACCCCTAAAGCGGTGTAGAAGACCAATCATGAAGGCACATGGAAATAAAACTTTAGACCAAATTATTTTTCATTAGTAATTAGTAGTAATTTTTTTGAGTGTATGATTCTGTTTCTGTGTCTGTGTAAACATTGGATCAGAGCATCTTTTTTAACTCATCTTTCCTATTGTGTGTATTTCCAAGCTGCAAAAAGGTAGTACCACCCTGTTGCGGATGACCTGTCACCTTGTTCCCCCATGTTTGTTGGGAACATGTATGTCCTTCTTGAATGGATGTTCTAAACTGCAAAATTTCATWGTAATGCAAATTATAATGACAATAAAAGGCAATTCTATTCTAATCTAAATTGAAAAAAGTTACTGTTTTAACTGACTAATGTAACAAAAGATCAATTTGAGAATACATTGGCCTGCACGTCGTAACAATTTTGTYTTTTGTGTTTATGTTTTTGGATATTTTCCCCCCACCTGTATCGGAATGGTAAGCTAGCTAATTCACCCAACCCCCTATTTGGGTCTGTTATTTGATAGATAACGCTAAGGTTTTCTTTAAAAATGTGTTTATTCTGTTTTTCTTTTATGAAAAAAWGTTTTCTTTATTCTGATGCTGTTCCAGTCCTTGTGGTGTTTGTAATTTATTCATTTTTAGTCATTGTAAAGCACTTGTACACAAACACACATAACTAAAAATGTAATAAATCACATACAACACAAACACACACACACTCACACACAAACATATATACACATATATATATACATATATAC